AATGCTTCCAGGGGAAAACAAGGAGACAAGTGGTCAGCGGTCTTGTGCAGTGTCCTCCCTTCACACCACCTCTGAGACCCCCTCCAAGTGCCCTCTCCTCCACCACCTTGGCCAAAGACAGGGACTGTCACCCCTGAGCCCTGCTGTGGAGCTGGGGGGTTGAGTGTGGTGGAGAAGCAGCAGCGAGGCCAGTACCAACTAGAAAGCCATATCCCACCCTGCTCCTGTGGCTTCCAGTGAGATCCCAGCCCTGCAGGACCCCAAACCTGCAGCTTTTCTACCATACCTGCTGTCAGGGCCACACCACACGTCTTCCTCCCACAGCACCAGGCAAAGGAATCCTCCTGCCCTACCACTGCTCTTCACCAGCTTCTCCACCGGTGGGGAGAGCGCGGAAAAGGTCACCCCACTGATCTGAACCCAGCGGTTGACGGCTGCTTCCCGTCTTGGGAAACACCAGGCTCCCTGCGCAAGAGGGAGAGGAGGAGGGGGCACCTTCCTCATCCGGGAGCACCTTTCTTGGAGCAAGCCCTGCCTTTGTTTGAGCTGGAGGTGGGGACCTGAAGGGCCTTGAACAAAAAGGGTTTGGTGGAGCTCAGGGCTGTGAAAGCCACAGAGAGGCAGCGCGGAGCAGCAGGTCCCTCCCTGCACCCTGGATGGTCCAGGGCCTGGCCAAGACACAAGGATTTTGGGGTGCCAAGGAAGCTTTAAGCACCATGCTCACCTCAGACCTGCAAGAGAAAAGTTTCTGATGGTCTTTGCAACTTTGAGGAGAAAAGAGGAAAAACCCAGCTCTGGTTTGCCTCCCAGGCATTGCCAACCAAGGGGCACAACACCAGCCAGCAGCCCAGGGTTCAACATGGGTGTGCAGTGGTGGCGGACACCAAGCAGCCCAGAAGCTGCTTTTACAGTCCCAGAGTGAGCTCACAGAAAATGAATGAATGAATTTCTGAATGAAGCAAAGTACCACCAAGAGTGAATTCTGGCACAGCACTGCCATTTTTCATTGCTCTATAGTCTGACAGGGCAGCAGGACAGAGCACAGCTCTTATGGGCCCAGCAGACCTTTGAGGTTGATGTACAGTGACCATCATCTGCCAACACCCACACCCCACAGCTATCGGCTCCCAGAGGGAAGGAATCCACTTCCTTACAAAACAGCCAGTTTGCCTTTTTTTTCCCCCTTCTCTCTCCAGAGAGCTTGCAAAACTACCCATCCCTTGAACAGCTTTCCTGTTTAAAATCCACGTTTCATTGCCACCTTCCTTCGAGACGGACCCCGTTGGCCATGCCTCCCAGATACCTTGTAGGTTCGCTGAACAGAAAGCTCCTCAGGGCCGGCACGCACAGAAATCTCCCACACACACCCCAAAACACCCCCTGGCCCAGGTGGCAGCTGCTCCCCAGCCGGTGACACAGCTGCCAGACAAACACAGCAGCAGATGGCAACCCTTCCAGGGAGGGTCCACAGAGTTCAAGTGACCAGATCAAACACGAGGCAGAGGGACAGCAACGCCTCGGCACCGTATTTAGTGAAAGCAGGACATGATTCCTATCATTTCCTGAACACAAACGCTGTCTGTAACAAAGGGCCACCAAACCCTTACCTAGCAGCATTAATATATTTAATATATGAATATCAGTTGTATTAATTTAGCATTAATAAGCAAATGAAGCCACGACCACCAATAAAGAACCTGTAGGCATGGACTAGACCCCTCACCTCACCTTATGTCCCTCCTTTTAGCCCCTTTTCCAGCTCCCACCTCAGTCTACAGCCCATGTGACCATAACAGCCCCATGGTATCTCATCCAGGCATGCACATCCCCACACCACCTTCACACCTCAAGCTATTTGTTCTCAACCCTCAAGTGAGCCTGTAGCCGTGATTAAAATAAATTAAAAAAGCAATGAAAATTTAACTTCCCCACCTCAAATTTTGTAAGTAGATATTTAACACCAACACACCTGATGACATGGATGGGCACCTTCATTAGATTCTTCCCCATGTCTGCACCATCACTGTCTTTTCATGTTTTTACAGCCCACGGTTGAGGCTGGATCTGGAAAAAGTGATGTTTGCAAGGACGTTACTAACCTGAAGGTGTGCCACAGGGTCAACAGAAGCCAGCAAAGCTGCTTCAGGCTGCTGCAATCGCTTTCTGCCAAAGCCTCCCCCCATAAATAACAGACGCAAGCACAAGGAAGCCTCTTGTGTTAAGATTTAATAATAATAATAATAATAATAACAACAACATTTCAAAAACAATGAGTGCATTGTACACAGAATCTGGTATTCAGTGCTTCTGATGGACCATTTGCTCTGCGAGTGTCAGTGGACTGAAGACCTGGGGAGTGGTAAGTGGATAAAAAACCCAGCTGGGACATGTCTCCAAGGAGGGCAGGAGAGAGGGGGCAGCAAGAGGTTCAGAATCGAACAAAGGTGGCATCGATCTGCCGGACAGTCGGGAGGGCCAGCATGATTTTGCGCCGGTACTGGGGATCCTTCTGCAAGGGGTTCCGCTCCAGGTAGACAGTTTCCAAGTTCTTCGCTTCTTTCAGCTCATCCAGGTCGCTCCAGTTCTCCACCTGGTTGTCGTTCATCTGCAGAGCACACAGAGGAACTCTCACACTAACAGACACTTCCCAGCTCTGCCCAGTTAGCAGGAGCCGAGCCACACTGGTACTGCGCAGGATTCCCAAGGGGCAGGAACGCTGCACAGCCTTCACGCATGGACAAGACGACCCCGTCCACATGAGCCTTCTCCTCCAGCACCGCCAAAATGGGCTTTCCTCATCTCAGACCCCAGGCCTCGCTAACCATCTCCAGCTTCCCACACTGTGCGGAGGTGCCCCCCACACGCTCCACCCTTCAGGCAGCATATCCAGTTCAACCGCTGTGCTGGGACAGACCCAGCGAGACACCAGGACTGTCTCTACACAGTGTCCCAGCCTATACACTGCTCATTTAAGGGTTGGGAATCCTTATGGCAAGACTTCCTTCCACTGTGACATCTGCCTTTACTTTCAAGACTTCCCAGGAAACATTAAAAAAGGTCCAGAACTGACATGCACCCACAGGAACCTGGGACCTTTGCACCCCGTTTGCTGTGTGGCAGACAGGAAGCTGTGTCTTCTCCAGCTGCCTCCCTCCAGCCAGCGCAGCGACAGAAAACGGCTTCATCGCTGACATGGCCGGGGCTTCCGCTGAAGGTGGCTTTGTAGTCAAGACCCTGAACTAACTAAGACTCTGAAGAAAACCCGCTCTTGAATCCCGCTACAGCTGCCCACAACGTTACTCCAGCCAAGTCAGCCGACCGTCAGCTGTCTCACCAGGGACATGGTACTGGGAAACTGATTCCCACAGTATCTAGGGTTTGAAACTCTGCTGCCTGGAAGTGTTAAAGAACTTTGTTACCTGGCTTCAATTCTACAGTCATTGAAAAGAATTGACATTAATGAATGCAACACTTGGTCACACCAAAGACAATTCTGCTTTTTATCAAAAAGCACATAACCTTTTAAAGCAACGTTAAAGTGGAAAAAATCCAGGAGGACATTTTCTGGGTTCAGCTAACAGATCTTGGCCGATGCTCTGCTCTGACAAAGCACTAGCACTAGCGTTTTTGCAAAGGAAGTCCAATGAGGTTGGGATCTTCCCTCTACTTTCTGTAAAATGAGTGGAAACAGCTGTGCAACGCCATCTTCTATAAGGGGAGCAACAGCAAAGAGGAAGACAGGAGGAAATTGCAAAGGATCACGACAGGCATGACGCCAGCCATGCTGTACTCTTATTTTTACCACCCAAAAGATGTGATGGCAAATGGGTTTCTCAGCTCCTGTTATTTAAAGAGATCGCACCACTAGTTGTCTGCTAAGCCATGCTGCAAGACAAGCAAAATAGTCCCAGTAGCCAGGCTCTAGCTTGGTTTCATTTGCTTTCCACTCCTTTTATCCCAGCCTCTGCCCAAGAGTGTGAATAACCAAACTCCAAACGGCAGACATTAAGCAGCACATCTCTCATTCTCAGCCCAGGCAGAAACTCTCCAAGAGTGAGAGCATGTGCCAGCTCGTGAACATCTGCTGCTTTTTCCCCCCAAAGATGAGCAGATCTGTACACAGCTCCCAAACACAGCAGGGTTCTGATGTTTCAGGAGGGGCTGCCTCTGCATATTTCCTGACCAGACATCTGAATGACAAAGGGCTTAGCTATTGCGGGTGCCAGAGAGAAACAAGCAATCCTGAACAGTGAACTACCTCACAGGAATGGAAGCAAACCAAAAGCTGCTTTCATTTTCTTCATGCTTATAGTGACATACTGATCCTGCTCTAAACAGGTACCGTGCTCCAGTGCAATGGTGAGGCAGTATCAGCTTCCCCATTGCACTGTCATGCTCACTTAAAGATGAGATCTGCAAACATAGGACACAGCAGAACTGTTTCGTAACCACCACAAGCGTGAAGGCAGGGCCTATTTCCCAGCCAGAGACAGGCTCCTTACCAGTAAGCAGAGCCCTGCAAATAATTTACGCTTGGCTCTTTCCTTAGGTGAAACCATCATACGCTATCCATGCAGATTGTCAAGGTCTTAACACTGGTCACCTGAACAAGAAAGTTTACTCCAAGACACACGTGGACACCCCCCCCCACCACTGCTCCCCATCACAGGGGCTTCTTTCACCGTTGTACAGATGGCTCAGGGAACAGCTCCTGCCCACACTTACCCAGAACTCCTGCAGCTCTGTTAGGTGACTGATATTTTCAATCTTCTTGATTCTGTTGGATGC